AGTGTCTCGACACCACCCTTTATCCTTTCTGATCCATGTTATGTTAGCGATGGTGGAGTGCAACCGCGGAAGAGGGACGTGACTGTTGGAAGGGAGAAGGGAAGTCGTGGCAAATCAACAAGTCAACATCTCCGGGAGCTTCCGACAACTCTAAGTGCCCGAAGGGAGTTGGCGCTTAAGGGTCCCCGCGGCTCGCAGACGCATTGACGAGACTCCGAGCACATTGCCTCACATACTGTGTGCAGGGATACGACAGAGTACTTCAGGCCAATCAATATATAACCTCCAATGCTCAGTGCATATCATACTATCTCATACTCCAGCCCAAGGTAGTTCCCAAGACAGCCTGCTAAGCTCAAGACGCTTCAAGACACCCGTGTCAAGCCCAAGACGGCCCCTCAAGCCCAAGACGGCCGCCAAGAGCTGGCGGTTTTGCTGATGACGTCGGAGGTATTGCTTCCCGGGTCGCGTTCGACAGCACGCAGTATGTTGGAATCCATCCACGCGAACGCCTTGGTATCAGCAGCGAACTTTCCACTAACTGCACACCCAGCTAGCGAGCGGCCATGAAGTTGAAGATCTGGAAGGAGGGCGGCAGAGGGCGCAACGTTCTCAAGGTGAGTCATCGCTTTATCTTACGACGCACACCGCTAATCGGAGCACCCAAAGCCCGTAAAATATAGCACAAGGACGTGGCCTGCGTCATTTCGAGTACACACGTCTCATCTGCGCCAATACAATACCCAGTCGAAGGCATCGAAGTCAGCCGCAACTCTGAAGGTCGCTAGATGGGTCATGTGGGCGCCCGCCCAGGATGCGCCGGTGCGCTCAGTGACTGAAGCTCGAATGGGGCTATCGGCGTGGCGGGTACTGGTATAGGGCGGGCGTGGGTATCATGCTCTAGAGAGGTATGCTTACGGTTAAAACGCGCCATCAAGTTCGTGATCGCCCCTGCTGAAATTGTGCTCAGAGACGCCAACTCACGCCTACTAGCTCGCTCCGTACTATGCGACGACGCATGTTGTAGAGAAATTGTGAACAGGCCAATTCCTCGACGAAGACATTTGACCATGCGGGTCGTGGCTCCGCCGTCGAGCGCGCCGAGGAGCTTCGGAATCAGTACACTATCGCGCAGCCCCGTTCGTGGGCGAAGATCTCGCGCAAATTCTGTGGGGCGATCATTTCCCAGTTCCTCGGCCACGTTTCAGATGCGTAGGCCGTCGCTTCTGGACAGTCGCAAATAAACACCAGAATGCATCAGCCCGGGTTTCGAAACGCTCCCGTACCAACAACCACATTGTCTTGGACCTTGTCCTGCATGCCTATATAATGTCGCTCTCTTCCACCGACCCTCGTTCGCTAACGACCCTTCACTCCCCGACTATGAGTGTCATCTGCGAAAGCAGCCCATCTACGCTCAAGCCTCTCTACCCCCCACAGCTCGAGTCTCTCCCACCTCGCGGGTCCCGCTTTCCGCCACCCTCCAAGCTACCGATACCTACGCTCAGATCGATCGACATATCACTTCCGGCTTGCGAGGCGGCCTTTGTTCACTCGACTTGTATGGGACATCTGTGTGCACTATCTCACAGCCGGTGAGTTCGCCAGGTACAGGACATCCTGAGCGCGTGACACTCACGACGGGACCCACGCAGATTTGTTGCGCTTGCGAATAAGGCGATACGGAGTCATCGGCCGTAACACGTCTCATAAGAACGAACCAAGTACATAGCCATGTTCTCTGGCGGGTTTGTAACCAACGAGAATTCTCCACGATCAAATAACCGAAGCGTATAAGTCTAAGGGAACCGAGAAAAGTAATGCCCATCGAAACCAGAAAACTGAGAGAAACATGACACTGCAGAAATAGGAAAACCACGGACAACTTGCGCGAATGGAAGAAAATTATCCGCACCACCGCCAGAGATCTCGTATGCCGACTATGCACTTGTCTTCCCACTATCGCCCGCCCTTCACTCTGTTCGCCCCGCGAACGCCTCCGTCTTTCCTTCTAACGGCACAGCCCGTCCGCGTCTCTTCGACGATGATACATCCTATTCTGATCTGCCCCCAACATCGCGCGTTCCAGTCCAGATCGCTGTCTGATCTTTCATTGTCTTTTCACTCTTCGCTCTCCCCCTTCTGGCCCTCGCCATCGCCCTCCGCGACATCCGGCGCCTGTTCTGCCGCGCCGTCCTCTAGTCCCTGCACAACGCACGGTTCGGTCTCAGAGCTCGCGCCCGTTGTCGCCCTAGCCTCGCGGGCGGCGTGCAGCAGCTCCTGCAAGTATTCGGTCTTCTTCTTAGGGTGCTTGCACAGTAGCCATTCTGTACGCCGAGCGGTGGTGAGCAGGATGGTCTCGTCGTCCCAGCTGATAGATGTCGGCGCGGAGAGGATTACTTCAGCTGCGGATACGACCCAAAGGTGATAGAACAATACGGAGGCCTTTGTCGGATGCATACAAAGCTGCTCCAAGATGCATTCTTCCAGTTCTACTGTATACTAGGAATGACCCTAGAAACCCTGAGATAGTCTGACAATGGAGATTCCTACGATTCTGCTAAGATTACCCTGTAGAAATCACTAGATTTCTCGCAGAGAGTTCTGCATTGGATCGTCCATTTACGATATATGGATCCACTTCCTGCAGTGAATGGCTGTGCGCTGCCGTTATATAGTGCCGTAGGTGCGTCTTCCAGACGTCCACCGTCCACCTACTCACACCATGATTGTACTCATATTCTCGTACCCAACATACTGCTCTCCGTGCGTCCACTCGCTCCCAAAGATGCCGGGCGCTACGGGAGCCGATTTACCGCCCGAAACGCTGTCATTGATCTTGAAATGCCTTATCTCTTCCACAGGCAAACATCGCCACTTGAAGCACGGGCTCTCTGCGTCTAGTCTCGTATGCAAGTTCTGGTCCGAGGCGATCAGACCTGTCCTCTTCCGAGAGCTCACGTTGCGCACCGCCGAAGACGTACGATTCCTTAAGAACATCGTCAGCAGCCACAGGTTTACGACTTCGTCTCTGTCCGGGGCCATCGAAAAGATATATATCCATCAAGAAGCCCCGGAGACGAAGCCCTGGCTTCACCACGTCCATGGACTTTCAACCCGACTGCCGAAGACAAGATTCCAGTGTACCGTCGTGAATCGCGCGAGCGATTCTGAACAAGCGGCCGGTTGCTGGGCTCCGTTCAGATCGATACCGCGCGTCACCCCATCCTACGTCCGACTCTCAGAGCTTACCCTCCACGGCGTTGTATTCACGAGCACGACCGAGCTTGCACGGCTCGTCGACAATTTCCCCACGCTCGAGCGCTGCACCTGCGACCAACTCACCTTCCTCGACCCGTCGCCAGTTGTCCAGTCACGCAGAATCCGGCGACGTGCTTCATTGACCCTCTGGTGGTGCAATGTATCGCGCTGTAAGGATATGGCGGTTTCCGTCCAAGCAGCGCTAGCTGCCGACGTCGTTGCGGCTGGTCGTCGCACGGGCCTTGATGACCGCACATGGGACGCGACTCTTCAAGCGCTGCTTGCATCGGTACCAGACACATTCGAAGGGGCAACCGTACACCTTGATGGTCAGAATGGCAATGTGTTTGGTACGTCTTCAAACTGATTCAAATGATGCAAGCCTCACTGGCTGTTTCTCGTCAGACATGGTGACCGTTTGTTGCCATTCGCCCTATGAAGGCGATTCTGTGGGCGATTATATCCTCGCTGAAGTCAAGGTTTGCCGACCCAGTGAGAGCCAAGATGCGAGGACTCCCATTGCGCGTATTGAGAATATCGCTCTCATACTCTCATACGCAAATGTCGAATCCGTGGACACTCTTCCTTGGGACACCTTGCGATCCGTCGTTGATTCCCCGCACATGCACTACCTTTGTATCAGCTACTTTCACCGGCAGCGAGACAAATCCTTCGAGGTTGTGAAGAGAATCCTCTGCTCTGTGCTGCGACGCACGCAGCTGACCTGGGCTCTCGAGCCAGGCAAACTGCAGTTTAGGCTGTTCTGTTCTGATCATATCACGAGGATAGATATCTTGTGCGTACCGGCGGAGCACACTATCGACGGCACCACTATCGCTCTCGACATCATCGAACAAGCTGAGTGGTTGCTGGCCCCGAATAAGCCCTTCCCCGGCGACACTACAAGAGAGGGGTACCTAAAACAGCTCGTGACCCCGCGCGCGCGCAGACAATCCACAGACACAGTCTCAGGGTCTCAGGATCTCATCGTCTACGGTCTGCGACAGAAAGCACTCAGGACACAGCGGTCAGACAGGCCTGGGAAGAGGCGGAGGTCGATCGGGGCGAAGAAGAAGACGGCGAGAAGATAGGCGACGAAGGGTACGATGAGGGTGCAGGGGAGGAGGCGTAGGACAAGGATGAGCAGCACGCGCGGGTAGAGCGTACGGCTAGATAGCCACCCGAGCTTTTGGGACAGAGACGAACCGTGTACGGAAACGCTCGCGGGCAGCCCAGCCTGCATCGGTTGGGTGTGTTCAAGGATATATGAAGGTTCAGATCTTATGACTTATGTCAGAGTTCACGGGCTGAGACCAATGCAGGCTACGAGTTTCGCCCTTGTCTTGACACAGTAATGGCCAGATCCTGTCTAACCAGGCTTGCGCGCGGTCCTTGTTCAAATATTCCCGAGACCCTGCTGTAGTACCGG